ATTGCCACTGCATTCTCAAGTGTATGGGGGGGGCAGGGGGGGGGCAGAGGGCACACTCTGTGGGCTGCTCCCAAGGACAGAAGAAGAAAACCAGGCAGGGAGGAGGCTGCTGTCCTCTGGCTCCACGAAATCAATTCCGATCAGATTCTGGTTAAGAGACAAGTTTTTAAATGTTATATGAGAAGCAAATTCTGGTGGAGACGACGCAAAGTGGGGTGGTCTCCATAGGACAAATAAGATATTATAATCCACATCTTCACTGAATGTTCTACACCAGCCCAAACGGAATTTCAACCTTCTGTTTGCTTTGATTTTCTTCCTAATAATGGATTTCTTGTTCTTGGGCAAAAGTACATACATTGATTTTTCTGGTTGGGTTTTGCTTGTTTTTGTTTGTTTGTTTGTTTTTTCTTAATCTGACCTCTACCCCAGAGTTTCTCCAAAGGCTTATAAGATTCTCCCCACAATCATTTGATGTGTAGCCTTATCTTTCTGTTTCTCTCTGGAAACCTGTGCAGCCAAGTTCTTGCGGTTCTGTCAGACCCACTTCCCACCTTTCCTTCACCCGCCACCGTATGTTCTTTCTCGCTCAGTAGTAACACACTCTTCCCGGCCGCCTGCAAGGAGGCCAGTTACCTGGTGGACATGAGCACGTAGCCCTGGAAGGTGTGAAAAGCCAGCGAGAGGAAAATGAAGAGACCATCACCTGAGTTCGGAGCAGATCCTAGAGCAGCGGTCGCCAGCCTTTCAGACCTCAGGGACCATGGGTTGGCGACCGCTGTCCTGAGGGAAGGGCCCTACAGTAATTTCAACATTGCCGCCTTCATGCAGGCCTCGGGGGCGAGTTAGTGAGGCCCAGGTCAGCTGGGGCAAGTGTGCCTTGTTTTCCTTCACCCCTGGGTCCCCGTAGCTACTATCTGCGCAGACCTGGCTGGCCTTCCTGCAGTGTCCCTGTGTGTGGGTCCCCACTGAGCACACAGTGGGCACTTCTTCTGCGGACACCTACAGCTCACCGGTCCTGGATTCTGAAAGGCCTTCTATTCCAGCAGCGGGCGGGGGCGGGGGCAGGGGGGGATGTTTTCCTGGATGGCAGCTCTGGACCCAGACTGTGGAGTCTTTCAAAGTATCCCAAACACAGCGCTGCCAAAGGCATCTTTACGTGCAGCTTGGGAATGAAGGAAATTCCAGAGGCCTTTTTCTAAGCCAACAGTGTGGCGTGAGCGGCCAGCACAGCAGCCAGCGGCCAGGCTGGGGCGAGAGGGACAGAGGGGAGAGGGGGACCAGGAAGGGGAGAGAGGAACTTGGGCCGGAGTCCGCAATCCACCTCCCATCCTTACCGGGGTCCTTGCTCTCCCCCTCCCCCCGTGCGCCCTGCCAGGTCCTCGTGGCGCCTGCATCCTGAGCATCCAGGCCAGAGAGCCTGCTCAGAGCTGCTGTTCAGCCTGCCGCCTGCTGGCACCACACCGCCGTCCGGTCCCTCCCCACAAGGAAAAAGGCCGCTCCGCCCTCTTGGCCTCAGCTCTCCTGGCTAGTCCTCCCGCAGCCAGTCCTCCCGCAGCCAGCCCAGCGCGTCCCTCCTGCCCCCGGGTGCAGCCTGGCCTCCTCCTTGGTGCGGCCCGCCGTCCTGGCCGCCACCACGCTGGCGCTGCTCCTGCTGCTGTGCCTGGGCCCAAGTAAGTGGGGCGATGCCAGGCCGCAGGGGAGGGAGACGGCACAGAGTGGGGGCCTAGGCACCCATTTTGAGTCTGAGCGAGGGCGAGAGGGTGATGGGGGGTTGGATTTTGCACTCCCACAGTTGCAAGTGGTGGCTTGGGCAGGCCAGCAGAGTACCAGGGTCAAGGGCAGAGCCTCAGACCTGTGATGACCTCGGGGACAAGGAGGGCGAGCTGTCCTGGGAGGGACAAGCAGTGTTTCAGGACTAAGGCGATGGGAAGGGTCCCCAGAAGCTTGAGTCAATGGGACGGTGCGCCCCCTCCTCCGGACTGAGCTGGCCTTGCATGCAGGGGAGGGGCTCTCAAAGGAGAACTGCTTCGCCCTTCCTGCTTCAGGGAGCCCTTGGCGAATGGGTTGAGAATTCCCAATGAAACGCTCCCTATAAAATGGGCATTTGCACACATACTCCCCAAAGGAAGCAATCTGGTGGGTGTGCAGACATCCGGACCCTGGGGGGCCGCAGACCCCACCCTAAGAAAGGCAGTCTGTCCAGACACTTTAACTTCCCTGTGCCCCTGTAGCTCAATGGTGGCCTCCTGCCTGCAGGAGGGCCTCTGCTGCTCACAGCTGAGCGAGGCAGGCGCAGTGAGCATCTCTTGCTAAGGGGCTGTAAGGTGTGGGCTGCTTGCCTATGACCGGAGACTGGTGCTTTTCCCAGTGCAGAGCAGCTGGGCACTGTGTGCTGCAAAGGGAAGACCCTGGGTGGCTCACTTCTGCATTTTACTCACTCAAAGCAGGTGAGGAAACCAAGTTTCTAGGGCGGGGGAGGGCGGGAGGAGGCGTGCAGTCCAGAAGGTTGGAGCTGGGGGCCTGTTCAAGTGGGGAGGGCGACTGCAGTTCGACATTGCACCCTCGGGGGAGGCGGACCAATAATTCCCTTTACATCATTGATCTGCCTCGTGTCCTTTGTTCCTCCCGTTCTAAGAAGCACATCCCAGCAAAGAGGGTGAGCACTGGCTGTAAGCCATTCATTCCTCCTCAGGGCTTGTATTTTACTTCATCACACCAACAACACAGTGAGCGGAGTCAGTGAACATTACAGCAACATCACTGAGCTGCAATGGGAACTTTCTTATGACATAAGAAAATCTTTATATCTATGTAGAGTCCCCTAGGTGGCTCTTTGTGACACTCAAAAACATTTAATAGAAAAGAAATGATAATCGCCCCTCTTGATCAATTAGTGAATTGACCAAAGGGACATCTTGCAATTCTGAACCTGCTGGGAGATGGATGCCAGGTGACTAGATTTCATAAATTCAGGAGTGCCAATTATCACAGCCTAGAAATAGGATCAGAGAGTGTTGGGGTAAAAATAAAAATCTATACACAGAAAATAATCATGGTTATTCACTTGTTCTTTGTTTTTTTTCTTCAAACGAAGTTAGTGTGGGGTCTGATCAAACGGTGCGTAGTAATTGGCACAGTGGCGACACTGACAATTCATAACTCAGGGAGAGCCCACGCTTCTCAGCTGCATTGTTGAGAAGTGGGGAGACTTCGAGTCTGGAGCAGCCTCCTGGAAAATGCTTAAGCCTCGTGTCTATTTCAATATCAGACTGCATTTCAGTCATTAATTGCTAAGTGCTTTTACAGACGGCAAGCATTGGAAGGACTTAATTCCGTATGAGTTGTGGGAGATTGACAAATGTTAAGAGAGTAATGGATGCTCATGTTACTGCGTAGGAACACACCTGTCTGCTTTAAGAAATGTTTTCATTGATTTTTTCACTTAAAAGTAGCAAATGAAGATGGTGACTTCATTTAAAAGTCATCCGTCTATGGCAGCCTCCTCAAGTGCTCATCTGTACTTATTTCTGCTCAGCAACTCATGATGTGACCTAGACCAGTGTTGCATGGCTGTTCGGCTGTGGGAAACCTTACTTCATGTCCTAACTTATGGCCCCGGGGCCCCTCAGAGCCATAGCTTTCCTTCCAGAAGTTCTATTTCTCTAGGACGGTGAAACATCTGCATTTTTGTACTGTTTCTCATGTAACACATATTTGCCCTCATCCTCTCTCCTCTGACAACTCCGGTTTCTGTGCTCTGCTGAAAGTGACCTGTTCTGAGCAGAGGGCTGGTGCGATCAGAGTAGGGACGGAACAGGCCGGACAACTGCTTCCTTTCCTCAGATGCTACCCAGTTACTAACGCAGCCTACCATCCCAATTGCTTCTTAAACAGCCAATCACTGTAGACCGACGCGCACACAGACATTGAAAGCCACTGGGTCCTTCCACAGGCTGCTGCGCATTGGCTACTGCCTGAGCCTGCTGCCCGCAGACCCCACCTCTTATGGAAGATGCAGGGCAACACCACCCGCACCCCCAGGCCTTCAGTGCGGTCTCTAGAGATTCTTCCGAACCAGCTCCCCCGCTGGCACACCTACTCTAGAAGCAGTTGGGTATCACCAAGTTCAAATGCTTGGAGGGACTAACAGGAGTGGCTGTTTGGGGACCAGGGGTGTCGAGTGACTTGGGCCCAGAGGTGTTCAAATTCAAGTTTTGTAAACATTGGGCATGCCAGTGAAACACGCATGCAGGAAAAGCGCAGCTGTGGGCAGCCGGTGTGTGACCTTCCCCACAAAGGTGTTTCCCCCTCACCTACCGAGTAAATTCTTTAAGCAGGGGTTGGTTCTTCGTCTCATTTGGGTCGCAGACACTTCTGGGAGTCTGGAAAAGACATGGCTTCTTTTCCCAGAAAACTGTACCCTTGCAGATAGAAGCACGGCCTTGGGACCCGTCCATGGAGAGGAGGCTACGTACCCACCTCCAGGCCAGTCTCCATCCTGGGACCAAACTAGCTCCTTACACCTGAAGGCACTGGGCTCCCTCCTTTGAGGGTGGCTTCCCCAGGGGCTGTTTCCCTTCAGAGGCCAAGCCTTCTACTTACATGTGCACTTAGGGATCGGAGGCGCTGACGGGTCCCCGCACGTGGAGGGTGTCTGTCAGGCCAGACATGTTGTTTCCCATTGAAATGATTGGGCTGATCAGAAACGTTCAGAGGCAAATGAAAGTCAGAGCGAGTGGTGCAAGTAGTGCCTGATTCTGAGGTGATCAGGACAAGCTACGCAACTGAGCGGGATTGTGAGAGAGCAAAGGCATGGGCGTGTGGCAGCTTAGCTCCCATTTCTGCTGCCTGTCCTCTGACGGCCCTTCTCTGCATGGTCTCCTCTTCCTGTGAGGACACGGTCTCAGGGTGTAGAGCCTGCCCTAGATGCAGTGTGATAGCACCTCGAGAGCTCTACTCATGTCTGCAAACACCCTATTTCCAGATGAATTCAACTCAGAGGGTTCAGGTGCCGGTGAATTTGGGGTGGGGGACACTTCCACCCACTGCACCACGAAGAGGGAAAGTCTGCAGGAAGGGACCTAGGACAGGTGCTGGCCCTCATAATAAGACGCCATGGCTGAAAGAACAAGGACACTTTTCCAGGGACTAGCTCGTGTCATAATGCCCTTGGCCAGCCACGGCCATTGCCTCTAGTCTGGGCCTTGGGCAGCCTGAACTGCTTTTTCTGCACAACAGGGAACACCACGAGCCTAAAACAGTCATACAATCAAGTTGCCAAATCAAGATGGGCGCATGTAGCGGGTTTTTCCAACTGATTTTTGCATTTGAGGAGTTAAAGAGTACGGTGCCATGCTGAACCTGACCTCTGTTTCCATTCCTTCAGGCGCCACAGGTGGAAATGCACTCAAGCTGATGCTTCAGAAGCGGGAAGGTAAATACACCCCATGTGGGTAAGGGTTGCATTCTCCGCGGGATTAAAATGCAATGGCCACGCCCAACATGCTCACCTGAGTGTCATGTCTGGGCACTCAGAAGTGTTTGGTCCATAAGAGGTTAGCAGGCCCAAAGAGCTTGTCCTGGGGGCATGTACTGTGATATTTTATTAGCTAAGTATTTTTGCCAGGAGCTGTTTGAAGGCTGTTTTTCTGAAAGCTGTCAGTGTGGACTCAGAAGGAAGAGTCGATGCTGCAGTGTGAATTGCTGCTATTTCTGTTGGGACCCTGGACCGGTCAGAGCACATTGTAGAGCCCAGCCAAGCTCAGCTGGTGGGTGCGTACGTATTGTACGGTCCTGGTGGTCTATCTCCAGTTAGCTACTGGCAGGAGGCTCAAACCAAAAGCTTCTTACTCACACCTGGTGAGAAGCACTGCTGAGCGAATGTGGACAGCAGCCAAGTGCAACAGAGCAGCCCGGGCCCCACTGCTGCCGCCATCACCATCCTGCGGCCATCCGGCCAGTGCCGCGGTCTTGTGAAGGCCATCTCTCTCTCTTGGACTTTTCATCTCACCTGTAAAACTAACTGCCCCTTAGAAATTAAGACGTGTGACCACATTTCTGATGTGAATATTTAATCACTTATTCCTTTTTCTAAAAAATATATTTTTATTAATTTCAGAGAGGAAGGGAGAGGGAGAGAGGTAGAAACATCAATGATGAGAGAGAATCATTCATTGGCTGCCTACTGCACGCCCGCTACTGGGGATTGAGCCCGCAAACCAGGCATGTGTCCTGACCAGGAATCGAACTAGGACCCTTGAGTCCACAGGCCAACGTTCTATACCCTGAGCCCAACGGGCTAGGACCACTTGTTCTTTTTTTAAATTTATCTTTATTATTGAAAGTATTACAGATGTCCCCCTTTCTCTCCCCCATTGACCCCCTCCATCCCGCTCCTTTCCCTTCCCCAGGCCTTCACCATATTATTGCCTGTACCCATGGGCTATGCATAGAAGCATACAAGGTCTTTGTTAATCTGTTCCTGATTTTTACTGCTGCATGGTATCCCATGGTGTAAATGTACCACAGCTTTTTTATCCACTCGTCTACTGATGGGCACTAGTGCTGCTTCCAGATCTTGGCTATTGGAAATAACTTCTTCTTGTCTCTCTGAGTTAGTGGGGACTCTAGCAGGTTCAAGTCACCTCCAGCACTCACCCTCGGGGATCCCCTCTCAGGATCGGGGCTCCTGGGCATCTTTCCCAGCATTCCCAGCCACTCCGGTGGCCCGGGTCTCTCTAGGGTTGGAGATGCCTCAGAGAGCTTCCTCCCCAGACTGGGCACCCAGCCCTGTCCCAAGGACAACCCGGTGGCAGGTCTCACAGGGCCAACCCACAGAGGTGGGGCTGGAGAGGAAACCGCCAGAATGGCCACAAGTCCTGGGTGTAGATCCTCAATTTTTATTCATTGCAAGCCAAGACATACACATGCAGCACCTGCTGCATACAAAACAGTGTGACAGGTCCCGAGGGAAAAGACATGAACGAGAGTGAAAAACACCCCCTGGTGTTTATCCACGTGACAAGGAGCACAGAGGGCACCCACTCCCGTTCCCCTTGCAGCCCTCATGCCGGCCCGGGACAGGGAGGGACAGGCCTAACCGGACAGCAGGGCAGACCCGTGCAGAGCTCCCCCTGGCACACCTGTCGAGGCGGTGCCTTCTAAACAGCCAAGGCCCCGCAATAAGATGGGAGGAAGCATGGCCCAGCCAGCACCAAGAGGCCCGAGGTGGTGCTCAGGTGGCACTGTGTATCCTAGCAATCTGCCGTGAGCACTGGCCAGACCACGAGGCTGGGCCTGGTCCGGCCCCTCAGGCTCATCACTCCGGTCCTTTCCACTCCCCAGTGTCCTAGGCAAGCCCAGTGCTCGCTGGTCTGCATGCAGAGTGCATGTGCGCCAGACATCCCGTGTCTCCCCAGTGCAGAGCCCGGTGGCAGGCCCACCTCTCCATGAGGCCTGGTCCCAGCGTGGTGAGAGGCTGCAGAGAGCGAGCGGCCTTTCATTCCCACCCCAGGCCTGAGAAGGTGGAGGCCAGCCCATGCCCTGTTATGTGATGGCTCCCAAACAGGAGCACTCACTAACCCCACGGACACGGGAAGCTGAGCCAGCACCGTCTTCCCCGGGGGCACGGATGGGGTGTATAATAGTGATCCCCCCAATAAGGAAAGAAGTCATCTCTCCACATTGGGGCGGCTCTCACTCATTTCAGCGCCTGCTCCAAAGAAAGCCGACGTGGCTGTGGACGAGAACAAAGCTAAGAGCTTCCTGGGCAGCCTGAAGCGCCAGCGCCGGCAGCTGTGGGACCGGACCCGGCCGGAGGTCCAGCAGTGGTACCAGCAGTTCCTCTACATGGGCTTCGACGAGGCAGTGGGTATCTGCTCCTGCGGGGCCTGGCTTCCTGCAGGGC